GTTCTTCGTATCGAAATATTGTACAGTGTCTCCTGTGGTACTCTTGTCAAATACAATGCTTAAAATGCATTTCGTCATGGATCATATTTATTCGATGCTATTTCAACTAATTTATTCAGTATTATTATTTTATAGCTTATATTTTAATGTTTAAAATGTATAAGGAAATTCCCAAATAAAGTTACAAATGTACAAATAAAATCTGCTGACAGAATTTCCCAGTTAACCTAATATTTTATATCTATAGAAACGTCATATTAAAAAGTAATGCGTTAATGATCTGTATATACAGGGTGTTACAAAAAAAAGTGTTAAAAGTTTTGTGAGAGTGTATTCACGGGGAATAGAAGATAATATCGATCTTAAAATTATTCTTATCGATATTGTATCAGTGCATTGTATTTTACAATGCCCAATATCATAAATGTCCATCTTGACAATATTATGACAAATTTTGTTATTGACAAAATGAATGTAAATAAAAGAATTGATTTGGAAGTAAAATTTATATTATTATATTGAAATATACTTAAAGTGTAACGCATTTTAATTAAATATAAATTTATTATTACATTAAAAATAATAATATTACGTTCATATTATAATTCAAAATTGTATAACCCAGATTATTATTAATATTAATAAAGACTTCTTGACGGAAAGTTTGAAAGAGTACGTCGATTTATAATATGTTTTATATAAAGGAAGACACGTATAATACTTTTTACAAATTTGTATCCTCCGTTTTCAAATAATTAAATTTAATATTTATATCAAATGCAATGATGTCACCAAGTTTCGCATCTTCTTTTGCAACATCCTGTATTTTTCTACTAATTTCAATTATTCCATTTTATTTTGTATATTGTATTTTTATAAAATCATTTACTCAATCGTGTACTACCAAAATTTCCTAAACTTTCCTAAAATTACCTAACCAAGTAATAGAAAATTGTAATTCAAAAAATGTTTAAAATTCTTTCAAAATTTCAATATTCCCCATTTTTGTTCACATTTTTGAGTCAAGACGTCTGTGAAAATATCAAAATAAACTACACGTCGTCCAAAAATATCTCATCCACTATAATTAACAATGATGATGTACCTTTTATTTATTTACATCCTAGGCATGTGTTTTACTTTAGTAGACCTAAGAAATTCGCATTTTCAGTGAGAATTAACCATAGGAAATCCTAACAAGGCTAAAAATTGAACATTGATACATGTCGAAAATAATCGATGGACCTTCTCGAACAATATATTACGACGGAAACATTAGCAATAGTACGTACAAATAAGTCAGACAACAGGCCTACTCTATGCGTTAAAAATGCGACCACGTAAGCGTACGTTCGCCATTATAACACGGTTCGCTATAAGGTATTCTAAAATTGTTCCTCGATCAACGAGAGTGAGAGAGAGGGAGAGAAAGAAGAAAGAACGATGCGTACTTTGCCTCAGAGAGAAAATACGTGTTCAATAATAGGGGAGAAAAAAAAAAAAAAATAATGAATATGTAACGCGGCTTTCACGTTATACACGATCGTCCGACTTCAAAACTTCAAATACTATTCGCGTTTGTACAAGCGTATCATTACGTAATTGGCATTCCGCGGTGTATTATCAGAATGAAAAGAAGTCACTGTCGAGCATTGTAATCCAGTGGAAACTTTTCCTATTTTTAATATAAACATTTCGTATCCGGTCGAAGCTTGGCAAATTTGGACCTGGGCCGAGATCAAGAAGTTTCTAACCAGCGAATTTCTACGATCGTGTACGATGTGAGCATAATCTTATTAACCAAAGAAGTAAGATCGATCAACAAGCTAGGTAAGAGAACAGCGTCTTCGCGGTTCGTTACACGCACAATTGCCAATTGTTTTTAAACTTTAACTTTGTAATAGATAATTTAATTACCTTCAAATGTGACTGAAAAATTCTTTGCGAATTATTTAAAAATCGCTATAAGTGGTAAAGAGTGTATAATATTGCCCATAGTATTTGAATTACCTTTTAAACTCGTACCCGAGCTGAAAGGAAGGTAAAGGGAATGCATAATGAGGGAACAAAATGAAAATGTTGCGAATTATTCATTAAGTGGTTTTAAAATGGAGAGTTTTCGAAATGTATGAAATTTGTGAAACGTACAGTGGAACCTTCGAAATCCTCACATAAAGGAATATGTACTCAAATCCTCTTGTAAGGGTTATTTTACAATTCAAAAGCAATGTCGATAGCAAGAAAATGAAATGTAACGAAATGTAATATTTTTTAAAATTATTTATTTTTATTATTTATTTGTTATTAAGATGTTCCAATTTTTGGTTTGTTAAAGTATAAGAAATTAACACAAAGCGTGTCGTGTTTAATCCTACTTGTATTTTCGAACTCAGAAAGCTGTGAAAACTTCGTGCGTTACTTTTTGCTGCCGTAGTATGTAAGACGTTTAGGCGCATAATGCCCATTTCACGCTAACGTAACGAAGGAAAAATTAATAGCGAAATATTCGAGTACTAAAACGTTTCCACCATAAAGTTTTACTCTATAATGAAGGTTTTACTGTACTACGTTTTATTTCTTAAATCTTTGTACCTAATTTCACTTCATTCTGTTAAACATAACAATTAAAAATTGCGTTCTAACGAACGTGTATTATTTTAACGAACCACGATGTCGCTGTGGTATATGTTGCATGAAATGATTATTAAGAAAATCTGTATGAAATTGTTGTGACACAAAACGACGGCGGATTTTTAAAAAATTTTCTGGAGGAAAGAAAAAATCCGCTGTAACGCGAAATCGCGCACGGCACATTAGATGTGTATGGTAAGGAACTATTTGCTCGACTTATGATAACTGAACATTACCTCGATGACACGTCTTTTCTTCCGAAACATGCAGCCCCCTCTCGTAATTCACCGTAGAACTTTTATACATGAAATACGGCTTCGTAATCGTGAAAGTGAAATTACACGTGAAAGGGGGAAAAAAAAAAACAAAGAGAAAATATCAAGTGCCTACATCATTTTCAATTTACAATTTATTTCCGAAGACTCGCGAAATTTAAATTATCACGTCGAATTATTTATCGGTTTACATTACCGACCGATTTCATTTTCACGCGTATATTTATGGAGTAAAGGAATTCTTACCGTAACCGTCTCGTGTGCGAGAAATTTTAAGAGAAAAGAAAGAATTTCATGTGAAAGAATAAAGTGCACAAAAAAAAAGAAAAACGAGCTATATCTTTCTTTCGTGCGGAATGAGAAAGAGTGAGAGTGCGAGTGAGTGAGAGAGAGAGAGAGAGAGAGAGAGAGAGAGACCTATGTAATCGAAAGTTTTCACGGAACACAAAAGAGCACACGAAAAATATATGTATACTGTAATATTAATTCCTAGTATACTTTACAGTTATGCGAATGTTGCATTATCTGTCTGTTTGTTCTATGCAGGTCCAAATGTATTATTGTATCCAATGGAATATTATATATGAAAGAGAAAAAAATATATATATACATATATAATATATATATGTACACAAAAGTTATAAATATTTTGTTGATTATCCTTAATTCACTATTTCTCGATATAGTGCATTCGCATTGTATTTCATGACTTATATCCGATAATCCACGTTGTATCTCACGTATATAAGTCTTTGGATCGAGTACATACAATTCTATGAAAATAAGATCTTCAATGCGTTTCTGTCACTATTAAGCATATTTAAACATACTTGCGTTAAAAACACATTAATATCGATAAAGGAGCAAACTGTCGTTCCAATAAATGTTATTTTAATAAACAGCTGTATAGACGTAGTAAGTAATTCGTACTTATTTTTACGATAACCATCGCTTTTTTTATTTGTCCTTGACATCGTTGAAGATGAATATATGTTTACTTATTCCGATGGCGATTTACTTCAAGGTCGAGAGATTAACCTGCCAAATAAGGACGCATGGGATAATCCAGATGGAGCTTCGAACTTATAATTTTCGAGCATAAAATGTTATTAAAATTTTTTTGTATTCTTTCTTTTTTTATTTTTCTTCGAAGCATTTATATTCCTATCTGAACTGTCTACTCTTCATTCCTATTCTATTGATTTCTTTTTTTATATATATATGCATAGCACTGACTGAAAATAGACGAATTTCTATCAACGAATATTCATTTAATGTATAATTTAATTAAATTATATGAAATAACATACTTTTATACATGTATTTGTAATACAAATATTATTATTCTAAAATAAAATTCTGCATCGTGTATGTAGTATAAGTAAAACATTTAAATATTATTCTAATGAATTATTTAATCAAATATTATGATGCTTAAAAAGTATTAAGTTATTTCTGTAAAATTAAAATTAACACAAACGTTTAAATTATTGATGTACTAATATAACTATAGTAAAGATAATGAAGATTAGATTATTAATATGTACGATACTATCTATGATTCGAGGTTTTAATTGTCCAATTTAGTAGTTATTATAAATATTTTATATTTCCCTCTTCAGTTATTGAATTTAATGTGTGCATCATACGTATACAATTCGCGAATAAAGCAAAATCTTTCGAGAACTTCATGGCGCATGCTCAGTAATAATCCCGCATGTTAGATGATCAGATACGAATGGTTGATTGTGCATAAAGTGACAAATGCTATTTTTTCTTCGTATTACTGAATATTTTATTACGATACATTGATATAATAAGCAGATAGAATTTTCTCGAATTTGCAATTATAAAAGTATCAATATAAATAGAATATTATGTTTATGTTGTTTTAGTTAGAGGTCTCTATTTACTTACATTGATATAAGAATAAAAATTCACATAGTTTTGTAAACAATACATTTAAGGTTATGTTATCATAACATAAATCTTGTAGTGAAATGTTAAAAAACAATTTCATCTAAATTAAACATGTTTTGAGAATTTTTGTACATATTTAGCATATAATCAATTTTTTGCTATTTAATCCTGTAAGTGAGCTTAACATCTAGACAGATGCCAAGTGTTAAAGATGAATCTGAGGCAGAAGGAGAAGAAATGTCTCATGACAGCAACGAAAGTAATCAAAGCTCTGCATCCTGTGACAGTAGTGCAGAACATAGTGATAGTGATGATTCTTCAGAAATGGATGAAGATGAATGTGAAAGACGACGTAATGAGTGCATGGAAAACTTAGTAGATTTAGAAAGACAATTTACGCTTCTCAAAGAACAGTAAGTAAATCTTTTTATAAAATGATTTCTTAAATATATTTATTGTGAAAAGAATTTTGCTATTGCAAATATGATTATAATTTTTAAATATAATTTCAGGCTTTATCGTGAAAGAATTACCCAAGTAGATACAAAATTAGGAGAGGTTCGAGTCGGAAAATCGGAAGAATATTTAGTACCATTAGAACGATTAAAAGAAAATATGAAAACAAAAACAGAGGTAGCTGGAATATTAAAACAATATAGACTACAAAATATTCAAAATAAATTCTTAGCTGAAGAACAAGCAGCTTTGCAAAATTTTGAAAGTGAAAAAGAACTAATCTGGGACTGCATTCACAATGATTTACAAGAAAAAATACGTAGACTAGAAGAGGATAGAAATAATGTTGATATTCATGCAGATTTATGGTTAAATTCTAATGGCAGAAGACGTAGAAATCACACTGAAAGAAGAAGAGCCGTTTCTGTTGCTGGACCTTATATTGTTTATATGCTTAATGATGCAGACATTCTTGAAGATTGGGCATTAATAAAGAAAAGTCTAAGCAGTCGAAAAACTGAAATAATATAATGCTATATATAGATATAGATACATTTTTAAAACTATTACAATCTTAATGATGTTAATGTATCGCCCTTTTATAGGTGTAAGATATATAGAAAATATTAGAGCGATCATTACATTCATTTTACGATACAGGCACTTTCCTTATATTTGTTACATATATATAAAGTGTCTTCTATAAAACTTTTGGATCTCTATAGAGCTACATTATGTAGTTGATAAATAATGTGTGAATGAACTGATGGAAAAATTTGATAACAAAATGTCTATGCCTTTACAAATACAATTTATAAATTGATAAAATATTGATTGCTTGTGAATATAAATATTATTTTGTTTATGATTGTAGTTATGTTTAGTTATAAAAATAATTTGATATTATATGTAAAAATTTATTTAAGAAATTTCATTAAGCTTATTTATAATCAGTCTTGTAAGATATGTTTCTTGAACGTTATAAACATAGTCTTTAGCATTTGATATTGACAAGCTTTTAATTTAGAATTTATTTGTGAAACTCTAATTGGAAAAACCAATTTAATTTTCAGTGATATATTGTTATACATGTACAAACTGTATCATAACAATTGAATATATTTCATATTTTTGAATAAACTTTCAATAAAAATAATGTTTCTAAAAGATTTGATTTTCTTGATGGATGAAAATGGTTAATGTTTATTTAACATATCTGTACTAACTCTAGGTAATTTAAAAACAAATGTACTTTTATACCTGAATAGTATTAACTAATTAATTTATGCCAATATGTTCTAAACAAGGAATCAAAATAATCAAATGAATATGAATTTTAATTAATATGTGGTTTAAGAATTTATTACTTTACTTGTGTAACTAATATTGTTACACAGGAAAATAATTGCAATCAATTTATTGCTAATGTATAATAAAAATCAGACAAAAGTATTACAACATGATAAAATTAAAACATTAAAGTAATACAAATTAAGGATTTAAAACATATCTAGTTAACTTATAATCCACTGAAATGCATATATTTAATATTATATGTAATTATATATTTCTTTATAATTGCATTATTTACAGTATCAAAAAATTGAGGAAATGTTTAATAGAAGAAAGTATTATATATATAAGCCACTCTATAAGTATAACAGCGCTTCCTCAACTTGTTTTTTACATAAAATCAAAAAACTCATTGATAAAATTAAGTAATTAAAGAAAACTGTGATAAGAGACTACTAATAGTACTATAATTAGAGATAAAATTAAGTAGATAAATTGTAGAAATAACTATCATTTAAATTTAACTAAGAAAATAAGGTTAATATAATAGTTAGATTTTATTTATTACATTTTCATGTAAGACAATAAATTGAAAGACAATAAATAATAATATGTTTTATATTTTTATATAAATTATTTGTCCTCTTCAAATTTATTTGAATCATTTTTATGCATTAATTTTAGTTACTATATAAATTATATTTGTCTTAAATGCATAATAAGTAAAATTTGTTTGTAACATTTTTGTTCTAACTAAATGAAAAAGAAAGAAACATTTATTTATTTCTAATAAAATATTTAATTATTAAGGATAATATTATTTTAACCTTTAATTGTATATTATTTATGTATAATAATATTAGACACGAAATACAATATATACAAGTAAACTGGAAGTGTTGCTTTATTATATTAGTGTATTATATAATAGTAATATCTTAAAATAACATAAATAATTTAGGCATTATAAATAATCTATGTATTTTTTATATTATACAGGATAAATACATTTGTATTGCAACTTATTTATTTGTATATATAATATTAAACGTGTATTTAAATACATAAATAATTTAAAATAACTGTTTAGCACTATTTTATGTATAATTTAAAGTAACTATTTTAGCATTATTTTACAAATTCGCGCGCTTGTACGCTAATCGCCATTCAGAGAACATGAGTAATACAGTACAGAGACAGTAAATCATACTAAAACTTATATTCAACCGGCAACAAAATTACGTAATTTTTATGATTTAATCTTAAAGATATTTCAAATTATATTGATTAAAAGATTTAAGATTATTCGTATATAGATATGTTCTTGTTATCAATAGTCTTAGTTGAGAAACTTTAGGTTTAGCACTTCCGTTATTAGATTCATACGTGAGGGGATCTGAATCGATAGTCAAGTTACGTTCATGATTTGAGGTCAACTGTAGGACAGTATCATTCTACTTCGAACACTCCAAGAGGATTGTCATACGATAAGCTAGGTGAGCATATTTCCTTCAGTTTTATACCACATGTAAAAAATTATATCTTCAGGAATTTGTGCAAGCTACATAAGATATCAAGATTTCATCTCCTCCTATTTTGTAGTGTTTTGTTTTCCAAATACATTAAAAAATGTTTTTAAGTCGTGCCGCATACATTAAGTGCCGAAGTTTCACTGTAAGGTCATTATATGCGATAGTTTGAGTATATTTTAATTAATTTTGGAGAATACATCTTTAAAATCAAGAAACTATTAATTTCATTTTAAGTTTGTTAGTTTTTTCCAGTGACCTTGTCAAGGTCAAACACTATTATTTCCAACAATCTTGCCGGTATTTTAATTTCATACGCATCCTCTGAATAAGTATTTAAAACACTTAAATCTAAAAACAGTTTGAAGTAAAAGTTAAGGAGAAACAATCTATTATTAGAATTATTTGCTACTGATTTATAGTTTAGAGGTTGTGGTGTATTATCCTAAATGTAATACATGAGTATTAAATATCCTGTATTTAATTACTTTTTACTTCTGGAATCAGAATTTTGTTATTGTCACGCATTTCTGTTTCAGACTTCTAATCACTAAGTTCAGTACTTCTGAATACAGTAAGAAAATGCCAATCAAAAGCATTAAAGCACGTCAAATCTTTGACTCTCGTGGTAATCCTACTGTAGAGGTAAATTATAAGAAATGTAAAATATATTGAGTTATGTTTTAAATATAATATCAGTAGTTATGAAATAATGATTTATTTTAACATGATTTTTATTTTTTAAATATTCTATACATTTTTAGAAACATACATTATGTAATTTATGTAAAATATCAGTTATTTTAAAATATTTTTCATATATGCAAAAGCTATAATACATTTGATTTAACTATAATTCAACATAATATATTTCATAATTGCTAATAATATACTTCGATTTTAGGTTGATCTGGTCACAGAAAATGGACTCTTTAGGGCTGAGGTACCATCAGGTGCTTCTACTGGTGTTCATGAAGCTTTAGAACTTCGTGATAATGATAAGTCGAAGTATCATGGAAAATCTGTCTTCAAAGCTGTAGAAAATATTAACAGTATCATCACACCTGAATTATTAAAGGTATTGAAAGTTTAATATTTAAGGTTTCTTTAATTTTTTGCTTATTTGTCAAAATTTACTAATTTTTATAAATACATCTCAAATACGTAATAAGAAATAAAACCATTTAATTTATTAACTAATTAAATTTTAAATGTTTATTATGTAGTCAAACCTGGAAGTTACTCAACAGACAGATATTGATAACTTACTTTTGAAACTTGATGGTACACCAAATAAGTCAAAACTTGGTGCAAATGCACTCCTGGGTGTTTCATTAGCTGTTTGTAAAGCAGGAGCTTCTAAAAAGGGAGTTCCTTTATATAAGTACGTATGATTTTTAACTTATATTTGGTATTCTAATTTATAAATGAAGTTACCTTAGAAAATTATTTTAAGAGTAATTCACAATATTTAGATATACATATTTTAATACAATAATTATATTTATTGATAATATATGATGTATAAATGTTTTAGTATATATTATATAGGTTCTAACAAAACAGAAATGTATTATAATAATTTAAAATTACTTCAAATCGTCGAAATTATTTATATAATAAAACAAATAAAATTTTACATATCTATTTGATATGAATGCCATTCTTAGTGTTTCAGATATAATAAATAATTTCGTAAAATATTTTATAATTGCAGATATATTGCAGAATTGGCTGGAAATCCCAATATTATTCTACCAGTTCCAGCTTTCAATGTTATTAATGGTGGTTCACATGCTGGAAACAAGTTAGCAATGCAGGAGTTCATGATTTTACCGACAGGTGCTGCTAATTTCACTGAAGCTATGAAAATGGGTACTGAAGTCTATCACCATTTGAAAGCTGGTATTAAAAAGAAGTTTGGACTTGATGCTACTGCTGTTGGCGATGAAGGTGGTTTTGCTCCAAATATCTTGGAGAACAAAGAAGCTTTAAATTTGATCATAGATGCTATTAAAGTAAGTAGTAAATAATCAATGTTTCCATGAGCTATGATTCTCATATTAAATATACTGAGTTAAGTAGTTCACCACTAATAATTATTACGTAATTCAGGTTGCTGGATACGATGGAAAAATTAAGATTGGTATGGATGTTGCTGCATCTGAATTCCATAAAAATGGAAAATACGATTTAGATTTTAAAAATGAAAAGTCTGATCCAAATACATATTTGGAACCACAAGCTTTGAAAAATTTGTATTTGGATTTTGTCAAAGAATTCCCAATTGTATCAATTGAAGATCCATTTGACCAAGATGACTGGGGTTCATGGACTTCTATGACATCTTCCACTCCAATTCAAATTGTGGGTGATGATCTTACTGTTACAAATCCTGAAAGGTAAAATTTAAATCTATTTAAACTAAACTATTTATAGTATTGAATGAGTGACTTCTATATTTTAAAATATAATTGCGTTAATTACATTTCTTTTTTACGTTTATAAGTACCGATATTATTATATATTTATTATATATTACAGAATTAAGACAGCTATTGAAAAGAAGGCTTGCAACTGTTTGTTGTTGAAAGTTAACCAAATAGGTACTGTCACAGAATCAATTAATGCCCATAAACTTGCTAAGAGTGCTGGGTGGGGTACAATGGTATCTCATCGTTCCGGAGAAACAGAAGATACATTTATAGCTGACTTAGTTGTTGGTTTATCGACTGGTCAAATTAAAACGGGTGCACCTTGCCGTTCAGAACGTTTGGCCAAGTATAATCAGATTCTTCGTATTGAAGAAGAATTGGGTGCAGCTGCCAAATATGCAGGAGAGAAATTCCGTAATCCTCAAGCTTAAACTGTAATATATCTTTTTATTAACACGAGACTCTAGTTGTTATATTTACTGCAAAATAAATTGAATATATACTTTCATAATTGTTCAAATTGTGTTAATGAAGTAATATTGAAAGTCGTTACTGTTATAGCATATCAGCCTCAAGAAATATTTAATTGATAGTGATGAATTCAAATGGGAATTACAAGGTATAGGGTCTCTGTTGAAGTTATATCATCCAAGGATCAATATGCACATATTTATTTTCATGTATTTACATATATCATGTTGATTAAACAACATGATTAATGCTGTTGCCAATTTATTAATTTATTTGAATAAGGTATATTGGGAAATATAAATTGTATTTTATTTTAACTTCCTTTTTAATATATTATGGATATTTTTATCTTGTTCAGTAGTCCATAAAATTACACCAAACTTCGTAATTAAAAATACAGTAAAATAGTGAAACCTGATATTTGCCAAGTTAGAAGCACAAATTACAAATTGTTAACAATTCTCATAATTATAGATATTATATTTATGAGTATTATACAAAACACTGAAAGTGAAAAAGTTTAATTCTGGTTTATTCTTAACCACAAAATCCATGATTAATTAAATAAAATCATTAAAAATCATTGTAAATCTTGCCAAGATGTTTAGTAAAATAAATAAATAAATAAAATCACAATGTACTGTAAGATTTTTCCCAGTAATTCCTATGTAATTTCATTTAATGAATTTAAAATTTTTTTTAAATTATAAAAATCGTAATTATTTAACAAAGTTACATTCTATTTTCAATTTATAATTCATGATTATTATTTAGTATTGACAATTACTGCAAATTTTATCTATAATTTTAATAAATTATGTTATGCAAACAATGTAATTATTGCAAATTAGCATTATGTATTCGTGAAAAGTAATTGAAATAACACAACAATCTAACGCATATATAAATTTCATTAGTAAATTTATATAGCTAAAAATATAACAAGATAGTATTTTTAAGGTTATAAAAGGTACACATTTATAGTTTTCACATTGTATTTAATCTTAAAATGTTCTTTTTAACGAAAAAGCTACTATATAGTTAACATGAAATATATAATGTTAATACTTTATTATTTTATATAATGAATATTATTTAACACGGTTGTTAATAATTCCAATTAATTAAAATATTTCGTAACACTGATAAATATATGAATCTTGTAAAATAAATGCAATTATGGAACAAATTTTGAAAAAGGGTGTTAAAAATAGATACAAATTGTTGATGTGATATTTTTTTAATATTCTTTATAGACATTGGTATTTAGCATTTGTTAACAAACATACTGAAACGGTAGATGTATGTTCTATCGAGCAATAGTAAAGTTTCTCAAAAAAGTTCAGATAAAAATGCAAAAGCTAGAAGAATATCTTACAATTAGATATGTATCTTCGAGTAACAAGTCTGATAGTAAGATCACTTGCGATCAGGGCCAATTGCGACAATAAAGCTAATCAAAGAAAACTGATGTTACTATGTCTATCCACTATACATGGTTTTATGCTATTTGCTTGGACAGCGTATTAGAAATTTTACTTTTGTTCGGTAGAATTATCAGTTTCCATTGGTACTCTTTAATAGACTTAATAATTTTCCTTAATTCAATATTATATTAGAATTTATATTCAACATTGTATTAAATATAATCAATTATCTGTAATTCATTGTCAATATATTGTTACATTAAGAACATGGCGAGTGTAACGAATGTGCTGTATAAGATATGAAGGTAGTAAAGGTAAATTCACATTTGTATAATTTAAATTACATAGTATAAATAAATTAAGCTTTACGTATGATAAGCTCATTCCTTCTCCTTTCCCTCGAACGAGTGATCCAAAATAAGTTGTCTTGCTGCAATTGAAAATAAATATTAAAATACATATTTTATAAAAACAGACATAGTTACACATTTTTATAAACAAATAACTTTTCATTTTTAAATTATCGTCGATTTTGTTTTCTTTGATAATTCATCACAAGATATATACTGGGTGTGCCATAAATCAGTTCCCATGATTTTTTAGATATTTTTGATATTCCAATATAAAAAAGTATTTTGTAGAAAAGTTAATCACTACTTAATTGATAAAATTCACAAAAATGAAATTGAAAAAAAGAAATCATAATCACCATGAAGATTTTAAATGAAAAAATTTGCATGAATTTTTAATTTTTGTAATACACGCAAATATGGAATACATACTTGGAAGTAATCTTCAATTTCTTGAAGTGTGCAATTTTTTGTTTCCGGCAAAGCGACGTAAATGAATATTGCCTCCAGAAAAGCGGAAATTCCAAAAATGATAAAGACACCAGTAATGCCTACTGCGTCTCTCATCTGTTTTAATAATAAATAAAATCAGAAATTTACGTAATACATTATTAATGTTACTAAGAATTTTACCTTGTTATTTTTAGTTTGGTAAAATGAATATTATCTAAACATGTAAATAGTTTTAATATTTATACGAATAATGTTAGTAAATTAATTCATTGATTATTAAAATTTTTATATTTGAAATATGTATGAAATATATAAGTATACAAATTACAGGCAAGAAGACTTACTTTAAGTGTTTCAAAGAAGGAAACTTTTTATGTTATTTAATTTACTTTAATTCTTTTAATTCCATTTTTCAATTTTTTAATTTTCAGTCATTTGAAATTTACTTTTATTGCAATCAATTAGGAAAAGTATATTAATTTCGAATAATTAAAATCTTTATACTGACTAATTGAATTCTGTTATTTAGTTAATTAGTTTAAGTATGTTATTTAAATTTTAAAAATTGATTTTTAAGATATTACTCAATTTCTGTTTAATGAAGTATTTTTTCTTTTAGATTTGCATTAGTTGCTAACTTAAATAACTATGTATTTTTAATTGCAATTTTAATTTTCATAGTATTTTGTAAATATTAAATTTCGTATAATTTCAAACGTACCATAGGGAAAACTTTTGTAACTGCAAAGATGAGTAAATTGAAAACGAAGAAGTTGCAACCACCGGCAATTCCACGAGCTCTTTGCGGAAGTAATTCCGCAACCATTAATCCTGGAAGTGCCATAAGTCCCACGGTGTTGGCTGCCACGTACAATAAGAGAAAAGTGACAACGACATAAATCTAAAAATGTAAATATAACGTAACAGATTAGAATTTATCTAAAAAATCTTTTTCATGCAAACAAATTTAACGAACATTTTTTAAACATTTCAAACATTTTTTACCTGCATATATTGTACATTGAATTAAAATTTTTTAGATAAATAAATTTAATGAATTAGAAATTTATAAAATTTTTGAGTTTTTTATATAAATGAATTTTATAATTTTACTATAATTCAGAAGAGATATATTGAGCTTCTAAATGAATGTCATCCTGCAAGTTTTCTAATAGTTAATTAATTTAATATATGTATGTGTATGTACTATATATCATTTAATGTTTCTTTCATGTAATATTAGCATTTTATGATGAAACAAACGTTAAATAATATTATAAAATAGTAATGCAAATTTGATTTTATTATTTATTAAAGGTATAAATAAGAAAATTTTAGTTCTAAATAAATTTCTAACAAATAATTTTAAATGAATATTTCTAATGAATATTTTATGACTTGATTTACTATTTATACTTTATTAGTCTGAGAATAGTAAATAAAGTTGATAATTAATATAATTTAATATAACAAATTAGTAAATAATAACGAATGAGTTAACGATTTAATATAATATTTTTCTTTGCTTAAGACATAAACAAAAGCAAAGAAGAACTAGAAAAATTATTAGTTTCGATTAGTTCGAATATCTGATATTAAATAACATACACGTATTATTTTTCATTTGACAATAAAATCATGAATGCAGTTAGAAGTTATATTTATATTGTTCACTCATTTGTTTTTACAAGGTTTTAAAACTTACATCGATAGAGGACTCCTCCTTCACTAACATGTACACCGCGAGGGCTAATGAAATGAAGCCCGTCCCAAGAGCAGAAAACATCCCCAGGCATCTTCTACCCATTTTTAACAACAAAACACTTGCCACTGAGCTGAACAAAAGTCTTGTAACTGCTGTAACTACTGCAGCTAAGTAATTGTTTATTCTGTTTCCACCTGTATAATAAAATTGAAGAATAATATATTATTATGTAATATAATATTAAATTCAATATTATTATGTAATAATATTATATAATTACACTGTAGCACGATTAATACGATAACAATATTCCAAACTATTAGGTACAGAACAAAATGTGATGCCTCCATTTTGCAATATGAAGTTGAGAATTACAAACGTGATTTTGTTGGGTTTTTACTAACTAGTAAGATTGTCATATATATATTTATTTTCTTCTCATATAGTTACAGTTTATAAAACATGTATAAATAGTGAAATTTATAATTCATAACAATTTGTTCACAACGTAAATTTATAACAAAAGTAAAAAAATTAATAAATTAATAAATTATTGGCTATTACTTGAACTTATAACGTATTTATGTCAAAATGTACCTATAATTTGTGAAAGGCTTATAAATTATTACACTTATTGTTAATAACAAATTAATATTATTAATAACAAATGGTTTACGATGTAAATTTATAATAAAAGTGAAAAAATTACCAAATTATTAACTATTACAGCGGAAAAGTAATATTGAAAAGTAATTTTTTCAGGAATGTAAATTTTTCAAGAATTGCCTATTGGATATTACAGATTAAAATTCGTGTAGAACAGTGTTATCAATTCTTCAAAAGGAAATAGAATTATTCGTAAAAACAGAAAAAGGAAAAAAACAGTCGATGAAAATAAACTTGTAAGTAAGAAATTGCAAATTATCAAAATCGCCGTAGTGGCATCACTGAAATCCGAAGAATTAAGAGTACTCTAATGTCGTTTTACCAAAAATTTTAGTTCGAGTAGTAAAAAGTAGAAGTAGAAAAAAAAATCGATAAAAAGATAAAGAAAAAGAAAATAAAACTACGTCAATGTAAATAAAATTAAATAATAAATTATAGATTATCAATCTCGCCATAGTGGTAGCAATGGAGTACAAATAATGAAGAGGAGAAAAAATTATCGATAAAAGTATAAAGAAAATAAAATAAAATTAAATGGAAATAAATAAGATTAAATTAAATCGAAATAAATAAAATTATGTAATAAATTATATATTCTGAATATTGCCATAGTGGTAGCAATGGAGTAAAAATAATGAAAAGAAGAAAAATATATCGATAAAAGTGGAAAGAAAATAAAATTAAATTAAATTAAATAGAAATAAATAAAATTTTGTAATAAATTCTAAATTCTAAATGTCGCCATATTGGTATTAATGCAATGCAATGGGTTAAATGTATACAAATATCTCCTTACCGATATCTTCAATGAGATCCACTGCGTAGAAAACGATGACGAATGTCCCGCTTATTAATTGCAGAATGTTGAAAATGTTGATGATCGTCAATGGCTTTAAAACACCAGGGTCGAGGAGAGTAGAAATGGCGGAAGAAATTCGCTCGATCCGTGACGTGTCCACAACTCTTCTCGCCAGATCTGCTTTCGCTCTTTCTTGCAATATTTCCATCTCAACCTCAACCTTTCAGAAACACGAAATATGGTCTATTAAAATTACTGACATGTCTTCTGATAATCAGCAGATTTCATTTTTAACATAATTTTTAATTTGCGTGACAGTTTCTGAAAATATCACACAATTTGAGTGTTTTTTCAGATAAATTTGCAGTTTGAAAATTTTTCACATTTTTTTTTTTTTATTTCATCCCATTATTCTTTTAACGTATACACATTTACTTTCTCATTTTATTACTTGGTTACATTTATGCCGGTGTTTATAAAAGTGGCTTAAGTTATGTTTCGTTTCAAAATATTAGAAGTATCAAACTTGAATTATATTATAAATTAAAAAATTAATTACGATAAAGGTATAGATTCAATCTGATTGTCCAATTTTCCATCATTTTGACGATAATAATTTTATAAGGAAATGCAACACAAAAGAACAAGCGATAAAATCATTTCTCGTAATCTTTGACTTAAGCCACTTTTATAATTAACGACACATTTTACATTTAATATATCGAATATTTTAATACATTGGAGACTGCTTTTTGGAGTATATTCAAAATATAAAAACAAACAATCAAATAAAAGTTTTGATGGTATGGAATTGATTGTCAACAGTTGAATTTCAGGAATGTTTCTCTCTAACAAATAAAAAACGTCATACGTGGTATTTTTATATTAAATAAAATATTTCAAATTGTATGAGCGACGTAATCTATTTTATGGACGACGTTCTAAAAATATAAATAAATTAAAAGAAGACAGAAAAAAGAAATAATTTTATCGTTATTGAACATTTTAGTTAGACTGAACATTTTAGACTTCTATTCGCCTTCATGATAACTCAAATACATCGATATATCGCCAAGTATCGATAACTTATCGATAATCGATAGTCACATTTTTAGGCTGCAAGTATCTTACGAACACATACTGTACCTGTTTCTCGTTATCTCCTCTCAACCATAGCAGTGCCTTCTTTGCTTTCTCGGGTTGGTTCTGCCTCACGAGCCAGGCAGGACTCTCAGGAATCAAAATTAGCGCGATCAACGCCAACGCAGGAAGCACGATTCCGCAGAAAGAAACGGTGGGCCACGTAAAAGAAGCCCCTAAGGCGTATATTATGACGATACCCATGCAATAGAAGGCGAGAGTGCCACCTGTTAGGAATCCACGGAGTCTCGGGTCCGCCATTTCGCCCAATATAACCTGTCGAAGATGATTATTACGAAACTTGTGTTTTACGTTATATGATAAGTTGGTTATCACGAAATTTGCGTATATAAGAATATAAACATTTGTTATTTATTTTTAATCGTATAAGTCAGAGCTTTTTAAACTTTTTCATTTGCGACTATAGGACTAATGTAAATATGAGCTGTTCACTGCACAAATCGATTAACTCCACTTTTTAAAAAATTTTAAATTTAAGTGTCAAAGCACTTGGTATAGTCATAACTGTTTATATTTATAATAACTTTCCCTGATAATTAAGATTAGCACCATTAAACGACAAAAAATTTTTGGCCACTGAATAATAAATAATTTATTTCAGAGGTCACTTTGATTAACGCCGTACTCTAATGTAAATCGTTGCAATAATGCAACTCAAATGCACTAGCAAGCCACGAATGATAACGGTGAATTTTTTAGTGCCGTCTTATCAGAATTTAAGTAAAATTTAGTAAAATTTAAATTTATTACTTTTTTCACTTGCCAAATCGATTAACTCCTCCAGTAACATAAAAATGGTAACATTACTAACGATTACGTTTTGGCTATTTTTTCTTATAAATTTTATATACCATTAGATGAAAGTTACATTTGTATTTATGCATTCTACAATGTTTATTTCGATTTAAATTATAAAGGGAATTTTAAAAAACAATATACATTATTTCACTGCATTTCTCCACTTTTTGTTTTATGAAGTTAATCAATTTGTGCAGTGAACGGCTCATATATAGGTACATAAAATAAATAAAGAAATAGAATATTAATTACTAAAGAAAATATAGCAAACAAATAGGTAGGTACTACAGGAAATTTGATTTAAACAATTGATTATTATATATATATTTATAATTTTGATAAAATAAATAAAGAAATGAAATATTAACTAGTAAAGGAAATATAACAAAAAAATAAATAAGTACTAATGGAAATTTAATTTTAAACAATTGCTTGTTATATGTACTTGTAATTTTGATATTTATCTCTACTTACTGGGACAAAAATAAATTTAAAGTAATCCAATTTTTCGCAATTTCCACAATTCGATCCGCATTGAAAAAGGTCACGATATAAATAATAATAGACTCGTTCACAAAATTGATGGATCACCAAATTTTTACTAAAAAATTTACGATTTTTTAATGGCTGGAATCTATAACCTAAATTTAACGTATTTTCTTCTATTGACATGTGTTGATTAAATTATATCCGTGGATTTAACGTGGTTTTATTAACTATATTTGTCAAGTAAAAATATCTATTTTTTCATCTAGACCAATGTATAAAGAAATATTATAGTTGAATATTCATGCACGAAAGATCGTGACTTTAATTTCTCAAATTTCTTGGAATATTTGGAGTATTGAAATAATTACTTTGAATACTAAAAAAAATAGAAGAAATAAAATTCTTTTTCTATTTTCAAAACTAGAACTTGCTTTTATACCATGCAAGGTACTCTATCGACTTTTGCAGTCGTTCGAATAATTACATACTATATATGGGAACGGAAATTTAGTATGAATATTTATAACGAGTAAGTGAGTTTCGAGTCTAAGAGATGCTAGAAAGGATGGAATACTAGAGATTAGAGTGTGAAAGAAAAATGTATGATCAACCCAAAGTTTTGAGTGTACGTGACCGAATGTGATCTGGGGATATTTGCGCAGTTTGGTGGATTCAACGAAAGGGGTTGTAAAATAGAAAATAAGGGGATGTGGGTGGGACATACAGGGCGAGACATATGAAACATTTTCAATACGTTTATTACACAATTGTTATTTCACGTAATAATTATAATAATGATAATTATGTATATACGAGAGAAAAAAATTACAATTGCTTAAATTTCTTTACTCTAATTGGAAATCTGAGCACTAATATTTTCTGAAAAAAAGAGAAAAAGTAGCTTTTTTGTGTTGTGATGATATATGTATATGATTCTACGAAGAATAAATAAAATAAAATTGTGTAAATACGTACATATACGCGTGTAATTTCCAAGTCACATAATATTATAAAAGGTTATTTGTTAAAAGTACACGGATTGCATTTAAATTGCATATTTCGAAAAAAAGAATTTTATGAAAAAATATTTCAGGGAATTATAGTTGCATCTCAAGGTAGGAAGAGAATTGCATTGATGCTTTTTAATTTTGTAGATGACTTCGAGGTTATTTGAAGGTCAATTCCATTTTTTTAAATGAAAATTTATCACTTTTATCAACAGATTTTTAATCTTCGTCGAAAAGGTTAGTAACTATTGTTAGAAAAGACATATTTTTGTATTTGATAAATAATTTTTAAAACGCACGATGAATATTTTGAAATTTTATTTAATATTTTGAAATTGAAAAATATATGTAATTTTACTAATTTTTACTGTATTTTATTACCATATTTACTCACCCCCACTCCTATTTATCACTGTTCAGACACTCGAACTGCTTTGTAAAGAACAAAACATTTTTCGAATCAGGGTCAGTAAAAAATGCGTTCTTCGATTTCATAAAACTTTATTTTCTAAATGAAATTTGATTAAAATTTTTCGAAAATGACTTTATTTAAATTAATTTGTTGTAAAGACATTGAATAAACTTGGTTTACTTGTAACCAAAATTCGTCATTGATCTTAGCAATTAGTAGGAAAAAAACAGTTTATTTGTACTGATTGATTGTACTGAAAATTTGTACTGATTGTAAAAGCTTGAAATGAAAATTCGTTTTTATTTTATTTATTATTTAATAATAAAAAAGAATTAATATTTCTTACCTGGGCGGGTACTGCCATTAAACCAACACCAAATCCAAGTACAATTCTTCCTATTAAGAGGCAGGGAATGGTTTTAGCAAAACCAATAGCGAACCAACCAACAAATAGTGGTACTGCTGCAAATTGTAGAGCACCACGTCTCCCAATCCCATCCAATAATGGACCAGAAACTAAAGACCCAATAGGGGTAGCTAGACTGTGAACTGAAGCTGAAAGTCAAATCACAAACACATGCTCCATAAAGTATTAATGTACGTTTACAATGTTAGAATTTTCGAAGTACAAAATAAATATAATAATAATAATAATAATAAAATACTTTAAATTGTATAAAATGATATTTTATTTTAATTTGCGAAAAACGCGTATTATAAAAGTATTGTAAATTATTTGAAAGGAATAACAGTAAATTTTAATTATTATACCTTACGAATGACTTATGCAAAAATTATATTTATTTAGGTAGGGTTTTGGAGATGCTTTAATATCAATAACTATAATAATATGTAATAAAAAATTGAATTATAAATTTTATAAAAATTTAAGGCTAATAGTAATGAAAATTCCAAATTGTATGTAATATATAATAATATGTAATAAAAATTCCGAATTGAGTTTTGTACACTTTTCTATGATCATGGTAAGTTAAATAAATGATAACATAATGTCGAAACTATTCAATTTCTGTCAAAAATTTTCATGCCTTGCAAAAAGATTCCATTTTAAAAAACGAAGTTAACATTCACATGTTCTTTACGCATACGTTTAGAAGAATATACTAATATGAGATTATGTGTCCCCTAAATTGTTTAATTTTTATTTTAAATATTTTTCAGTATTATCAATAATTTCGAGGATATTCAAACGAGAGAAAGATATTTAAATGAGTCACCCTGTATATTAGCCACAGTAATATAATTATCAATTATTTACGAGTTGATTAATTCTATTTTAATTAAAATTCCATCTTACAAAAAATAATTACCAAAGTAATTAAATAAATTCATAAATAGGGATGAAGTCTTATGGTATTTAACAAGACATACATTATCACGTTTCATTAGCTCGTTTAATCAATATTTAATAACATCATAATTCCCAGTAATGCTGAAATTAATTGACCACTTGCACATAATTAATTGTTTCCAGATAAGATAACCGAACTTCACTTTCACAAAAATTTATCAACAGAACAAAACAAGAATATTACAACTCAGATTCTAGCTTTCTAAAAATCAATACAAAACTGAAACAAATATTTTTTAAATGTTTGATTCAAAAATTTCGTTATTAATAATATAATTAACTTTGTGTCATAAAAACTTTGTTCATTTGTAAAAGAAAAAAAGATTATAACTAATTAAAAATTTTATATTCTCAGTATAATAGTAAGTACATTAATTATATACTCGAAGACACAACCTTAAATTAACAACGTCCTCCAT